CTCATGTAACGAATGTCTCAAAATATCAAACTGTTGACACTCAGACATGAGGTCGATCTTCTCTTCTCACTCCCAGAGAAGTAATTGCCAATCTATCCCAGAAAGTTAAACTATTCCTTAAGATTGGAACAACTTTGTTAGTATCCACATCTTTTACCGAAGGAATACCTCACGGGTGTGCACAGAGGTAAAATACACTGAATTTTTTATTTAAGTTGGCATATAAAGTATAGTGACTTACAGTAATGTCTTGCAATATGTGACCATGGACAAAAAACAAGTGTTCATGAAAGGAGTACTAGAATTTAAAGGGACACTTAAAAACCTGTATTATGTACTTTCAGGGCTTCCTTAGAACTCCATAGATATTATTGAAAATGTCATTATACAATGTGTTTCATATACAGCAAGTCTAAATATATGGGTGGAGGCACGCAAATGGTTGATTTCACTTCACTTCAGCCCACTAAAATCCTTCAATTCCCAAAAATCCCCTATACTTACAGTGTCCCGTGTTTTTCAAGGGACAGCTTGCAAGCATAAATAAAGGCAACGAGCTGCTTTTATACTTTTCATACCATAATGCATTCAACATATTTTCAGAACTCGTGATCAACTCTGCTTTTTTAATCAAAGTTCAATTCCCTGAGGCAAACGCTGATTTAAAAAGATGGTGACATGAAACAGAGTCGAGTCAGCCCAGACCGGCACTCATATAACTTTTTATGAAAAGGCTTCCCTCTAGTGAAAACGAGAATGAAATCTGCCGTGCACAATCCTCAGCAGGATGATCTGAAAAGTGCTATGGCTGCAGAGCTGACATATCTCCTAGGGGTAACCGAGGACATGCTGGATTTTGCCATTATCTGTGCTTGCTGTTTCTGCTGATAACCATCACACTAATGGATTTATGGGCCCTTGTGAATGTGTCATGCGTGTGAAAGCCCATAATCTAGCACTATTACCACAGTATGAAAGGCTGTAAAATATGCACAATATGGATTGATTGCTCTTGATTATAAATTGGGGGTGTTATCAGTTACCAGACATTGTAAAGGCTTTCATTAAAGCCACAAACTGTCAGATTCTGTTTCTAAAGGTAGACTTTACAAAGCCACTATGGTATAAGTCAATCATATCATATTGCTTATTTTCCAATGTCATATACAGGCTATGTCAGACCTGCCAAATAGCGTGCCTGTGCAGTTCTCACCCCAAATATGTTTGGCAGCTTGAACTCACTGTGAACCGTACAGGTCCGGGAAAGGGGAAATGTCTCTTTCCTCATGCCTCCGATTCGCCTCTCTTTCAAAAGAGCAGGCTTGCAAAACAGGCGCTTTAGTTCCCTTGGCAGTCTGCAAATTTGTCACACTGTCACTTCTTTCTGTTAAGCTCTGTGTTGTCTTTGAGACCTAATTGTAATGACAGTCATGTGATTAAAGTTGGAGCCTTTGAACAGAGGGCAAAAGGGGAGTAAAGGCGCACCCCTTTCGGACAGATCGTTCTCTCCATTTGTCAAGCTGTCTGCCCTCGTCCACCCGAAGGTTTTCCCGTGTGGCTGGACCGCCAGACAGATGGACATAACGGACAGACAGGGACACCCTTCCCCTGGCTGTGAACCCAGACTCACACGAACCAGACTTGATTCACTTGTGACTTTTAATCTTGTGATGTTCATCTTATCAAGTGGCTCGCTCCAATTGCTACTGAAAAGTTGAGTTTGTTTGCTGCTGGTATATGTTGTATATGTTGAGTTGTATGAGGTGCCAAAGTCTGATTTCCTGTCTCTGTCTGGCACCCAGCCAATCCTTCGTGTCCATGTCATCGGCTTGTCTGTCTGCTCACTAGTCTAGTCTAGCATCTGACCCAGTGTCTTTCGACCCACCTATCTCCGTCTGTCTCTGGTTCTAACTTTGACGGCGTGCTCATTTCAGGAAGTTTCCCCACTCTCTGGCTGTATCAAATGACTTTCAGTCATAGAGCTGCTAATCAGGAAACTCGAACCGCACTTCCTTAATTGGCTTGCTTTCTCTGTAGTTCTGTTTTTTACGCCTCAAATCTGCAGATAAAAATCATTTATGGCTTTATATTTATAATAAGTGCTGGTAGTGCTTCAGCTTAGCGGGATAAGACGGATGTGAAAATTGCCTGTACAGAACAGAACAAAACCTGTTAATTTTACAATTTATGTTCAGCACTCTCAAAAGGTATTATGAGTCTTAACTATCAATCTGTGGCGCACCAATCACAAAGTTGCCTAATTCTGTGACACCTCTTTATGAGGTTATGGGGTTTGATGACAAACAATACATTCGACAGTGTGTGTGGACCAAATCTATATAGAGATAATACAGGTAACATGATCTACTGGTGTTAGGGTCGCATGGGGACGACAATCTTTCTATTCTCCCTTTCCTTGTGAGCCACGAGCTTAAGCAGTCAAGTGAGTGGATTTATGGACCTGAGGCTTATGGCTTAATCACGATTGCTTGAATTGGCTCACTCTCAATTAAAATAAATCGGTTTTACTCCTAATGAGAGAACGAGACATTTGGGGTGGGGGTGGGGGGGTGGAGACAGTTGCAGAAGATCACTACATGCTCATTGAGGTAAATAAAAGCATTGAGAAATATCTTTTCAGTCCAGGCCAATGAACAAAATAACAAAAATACAGAGAAAAATCCTGTTTCCAGATAAAAGACCCATGAAAATGACAGTGACAGCCTCAAGCATGTTATATGTTTTGTTGGTCAAAGTTCAAATCCTGAACACCTCTAAATTTAAAAGTTAACATATCCTCAAAAAAGGGCCTCTTCCCCTTCCCTATTTCGCTCTGATTTTCTCTGAAAAACTCTTGCACTTGTGTAGTCGCTCCTTCTTTTTTTTTAAATTATTTTTTTTACTGTGTTCAGCTGTAAAACATTTGAGGAAACTTTATGCTTCCCCATTCAAATCTGAGTGTAACTGGAGGTTCTCCGCCGACCATAAAAAAGAGAGGGAAGGGGGAAAAATGGTTGAGGGCAGGATGAGGTTCTCGTCTCTGTGTCTTCATAGTGCGGGCTGCGGGCCAGGCACACTCTCATGCAAAACCTCATCCCTGCAACTCTTTTCTCTCCCCTTTTCTTCCCTCCCTCTTTCTTTCTGGCAGTAGAGTGAAGCTCCATAAAAATGAATTATGCATCTGAAAAATCTGAAATGTGTAGATTTCTACAGTGTACACTGGGGGAGACTGCATCTGCTACTTTATAGAGTTAAGTGTCTGGTGTCTGGATAGGTAGGCAAAAAACATTTAAGCATTTGAATTGCTTTATTTGTTCTTGATTCATGTTCAGAAACTTAAATGAACAGTTTCATGTTTTGTGAAGCACGCTACCAGGCTTTCTTACCGAGAGTTAGATGAGAACATTAATAACACTCTCATGTCTGTGCGGTAAATATGAAGGTGGAGCCAGCAGCCAGTTAGCTTAGCTTAGCACAAAGAATATAAACAAGAGGGAAACAGCTAGCATTGTTCCGTCCAAAAGTGACAAAATCCAGCTTCCAGCACCATTAAAGCTCACTAATTAATATGTTCTTTCGAGGTAATTTAATCCGTACAAAATGTAAAGTATTAAAACAAGAATTTGTCATTTTGAATATGTGTTTTTCCCAAGATGTTTAATTCTTTAACCAGTCACACCCACATATTTCAAGAAGGCTATACACCTGAGGTTTAATATATTGACTGCATTCATTTCATTTAGCTTCCGCTTTTTTTTATAAAGCGACTTACAATTGCTGTACATGTCAGAGATCGCACTAGGGGTCTTGCTCAGGGACACAACAGTGGATGGGTCACAGTGGGGGATTGAACCCAGGCATCTTATCCACTGCACCATCACCACCCGTTCAAACATGGAGGCAACTCTTTTTTCAGCCAACAGCCACTTTTTACAAACAAAACAGCTACAAGGAGATCACACACACATACACACACACACACACACACACACACACAAACACACACACACACCAAACAGATGAGAGAGAGCATTGACTTGCCATCAGTGTGGTCTCAGAAGTCTTCACATTTCTTTGAAGTCGGAAAAACTCCCACCACAATTCACTTGTAAGATTAACAAAAGATGTATTTAAATGACGGCTGTGGAGACAACAACACAGACCTACATGAAGGTTTATGGCTTTTTGACCCCTCCCAGATAAACAAGAATGACCTGACCCGTTTTGTGGTCAGGAAGGATACAACACACAAACTTTTAGAAATGCACTCTAGCTGGGGGAGAAACCGAGGCAGTCACAAACAGAAAGGCTAATAAAGCCCATGCCACATTTCCAAGCATGATCATTCTAAATAATAGCCTTCCTTGTACTTCGACTGAGGTTTGGGCTGAGGAGGGTGGTCATGGGGCTCCCCAATGTGATGGCAATGCACTAATCTGCCCTGTATGGGCCATTCACATGTGTTCACACCATTGTTTGCAAATTCTGAACAGGAACTGCAATGTGACCCAAGGGAATTGTAAATTTGGTTTGCAGAAACCCTCCACTAATTCCTCCTCTTATTTAAAAACAGCGTGTCCTTACAAATCCCATCACCTCTGGTGCTTCTTGTCTGTACTACTGGGAAGTATAATAAAATAAAATAAAAAGATATTTGGCTGTAATTGCATACAGATGTCAATGCTGAACACTGCAGAGACGCCACAAGCAGACAGGATGCGCGTACTGCACAATCCGTGTGAGCCTGGGAAAACCGACGGTTTCCTCGCCACTAGCGTTTATTTCCCCAAAACCGATCGGTGCTGTAATTTATTACCCCGGTAAACACGTGGGAATAGTATTTCAGCGCCACAAGATAAACAACTGCTCCGCTTCACGCACATCTCGCGATAGGGGACGCTCCCTCTGTGCTCGCCTATTGTGAGAGTTTTCCAAACCTCGCGTGATCTTGGAAGTTTCCCACGCCTGTTGTTGTGGCGTCTGCCCTTTTCGCTCTCTCTCTCTCTCTGTTGCTGCTGCCCGCCGCCTCCCCCTTTTTTCTCTGTCTTCCTCACCCACCCCCTTTCTCTCAGTCTCCCTCGTTCCTACACCTTCAGTCTACTTCTGTTGTCTCGGCGGATTGTTGGGCTGTGGGAGAGAAAGGATATCGCGAGTATTGGAGTTTTGGTGAGAGTTTGTGGAAGATGGCGCCTGTTGTGACAGGGTGAGTCTGAGATTCGGGGCTGGTGGTGGGGATCGGAGTTGGAGATAATACAAGTTACTGCCACGAAACAGCTTAATATTTGTCCGTGTGCTGGAGCCTGGGCACACCGCAGTGCTTTGGCCACGGGTTTAGTCGCTACAAGTCCTTTCTTTGTCTCAGTGTGTGTGCGTGCGAGTGTGTTTTTCCTTTCTTTGCCCAGTTAACGTTACTTGCCCGAGCTGACTGTTGCTGCAGTGTTTTGTGAGCTAGCCCCAGCTAAGCGATACTTCACCCTCGGTGGTCCCCCCCCCCGACAACGGCGAGCAGTTAGCTAAGTTAGCAGGCTAGCCAGCGAGCTAAACACAACCAGTGAGGCATGGGTTTAAAAGCAATTTGATATGTCGCCTCTTTTCTCCCGACTGGAAGCTGTAGTATAATTCCTGGTCCTGCATTTGTTTCCGAAACGTGCTGCCCGTGTTAGCCGGGCAGCACGTTTACGGATTGGCTTTACGACTTTAACACAGCAAACGTTAGCTGTCCGGTAGTGGACGTTACGTTAGCTAGCGAGTGAAACGTGTTGCGGCTTTGTGAGCAAAGGCATGCTTTTTTGTTTTTAAAATATGCTGGCTGCATTTGTTGACGCCGTGAGACAATTTTCGCTTCTCTCGGCGTGCTCGCTTGCATATTTAAGCTGCAGCACACAGCGAATAGCGTGCACTTTTATGACTTCAGCTCCCTGTTAAGTTGGACGACAGTGCTAGAAAATAGTATTCACTAATAAACACGGCGATATGCATCTAAATTGTGGAAGTGGATTAGTAATTAAAAACCCCGTATAACACTTGCTCTGGTTGGAGGGCATCTTTGGATGAAACTCACTGATAAACACCCACATTGCAGTGAAATCTACCCAGAAAAATTATCCTTAGTATATTAAGTCTTTAAGTTAACCCGAGCATTTGATTTACCAATAACGTTAGTTTGTCGTTTAAAGTCTGATAGTAAAAGTGACGTTTTCTGCCCTGAAAAACATGGAAGTTATTTTCCCCGATGTGCTTTAAATATTAGATAACACACAAGTCTTGAAATCCATTTCCCCCCATCCCAGTCAAATTCAAAAGTTTTTATCTTTGAGATGGTTACATTTTCACAAATTTAAAAAGAGTTCATTAGGCTTAGTGCTCGTTTAGTAATTGCTACTAGATAATGCATCTTGTGATAAGTGTATCAGCCAAGGCTTTAAAATGGGGAAAGTGGTCTTTGTTAACATTTTCAAACTGCCTATTGAATTGATAGCTGGAGAATGTCAAAGATACATTTCCTTGTGAAGCAGAGCAGTGCAGCCTTGTTTTCATCAGTAATGAAACCATATCATTCAACATTAATAGACTGCAGCCTGGGCCCAGTGCTGTGTTCAAGTGAGCTGATTGCCTTTACTGTTTTGGCTGGTCTGTAGAGTAAACCCAGATTAAAATTATTTGTCTGCACATTAGCTGGACACGAACCTGCTTTCTGAGGCTGTAATCCCCACAGACAGCTCAGTGGGTGACAGACATTTGCTGGGCATGTTGTGTGTTGGCAGGGGAAGGGGAGGTGGATCGGGGTGGGGGGGGGGGTTTCTGTGCATTTTCATGTGGGGCTTTCCAGCAGACCTGAACTGATTTCAGTTGAGGGGGTGGTGGGGGGGGGATGCAAGCCAGAGGGCAGGCGGGTCAGGTCTGGGTGGCTGGCCACCTGGCCTGATGATATCTCCAGATTCGTGTCTGTTTGGTTTTTCTGCAAGGGAGTCGGGGTCAGTGTGTGACAGGAAGAGAGGTTTAAAAGAAAATTAAAGTGCCATAAGGGGTATTTTAAGCTGATGGCAGGCCATGTTCACAGTAACGGTTGGAGGCATTATGGAGCCTGACCACAGCCCCATGGTTCTGGCTTTACACAGGGACGGGCTTCTCAACCATGGGGTTGTTCATGGTACTATGACTCTGTTGTAGTATTACAGAGAGGCTGTGGTTGTATGTTTCTGTCTTTGGATTAAAGGTTGTAGCTTTCACTGATTTCACTGTCACTAAAGTTGTTCGTTTATTCATTTGTAGAGGTTATTTGTAGGCAGTGCTTTAGTCCGTGTTGCACATTGATATTGTGTTTCTGCCTGAATTAGTCTGGAAGTCTGTTTATTTACAAATGATAGAAGAACAAGTGTGTGTGTGTCTGAACACCATTCTTACTGTGGCGTTTGATGCTTGATGTGCACGGTTGCAGGTGGCAGTTATTAATCTGACAATTCACAATAAACCTTTGCCTTTATGAAGCAGCTGTGATACACAATAAAACTACTGTATATTTAAGTATCAAACGCTCATTCCTTTGTAGGCTTTAAAAGTGGCTGTGAAGAGTTTGTAGTTTTCTTCTTCGCAAAGAGTAGTAGCTGCGGTTGGCTTGGATTCGTGTCAGTAGCAGTCGATTTCCATGGCTGATATTAAAGTGATCTTTTCGTAGGTTTTCCTTTCATTATGTTATATGCCTTAAATGTTATCATGAAGAATATCCTTTTAAACCATTGAATATAAATGTTCAACACTTTACATGCTATGTAAAGGCAATGACACTAGGGCTGCAACTAAGAGTTGGCCTATTTTCATTATCGATTAATCTGATGATTAATTTCTCACATCTGACACATTGAGACTGCTTGTTTTTTCCAGCCAACAGTCCAAAAATCCCAAAATACTGCTTTTACAATGAGATAAAACAGATTAACATATTAAAATGTAAGAATCTGGTACCAGCAAATGTTTGGCATGTTTGCTTGATTTGTGTCTCAAGCGATTGTCAGAATAGCTGCCAATTGATTTTTCAGCACTTGTGCGCTGTGCACATGTGTACATTAAGGTTTAGAGCAGTACATGAATGTTTCCACTAGGGCAAATCGAAATTGCGATTTGAAAGAAGGAAATTAGCTAATCGTTTAGACATTAAAATGTAAGTTAACTATAGACCCGTTTTAAACAGTCATGTAGTTACAAATGATTTCCTTGTGTCATCCTTGTGTGACAGATCTGCTCGCTAATCACATGCACACATGTCCTGCTCACCAATCAGAGCAGGTACAGGGTGTGTACATTTTCCAACAACAAACAGCACCAGCTGAACCATCACAGACATAAGAGCATTTTTTTGTTAACTTGATTTTGTTCAGTTGTCCTTGATTTTTGTGTTTCTAATATGGTTAAGTTGCTATGTAGTTAAATTGTATATATTTTTTGTCTGTTTTAACTGTGTTTATTGTTGATGTACGATTGGGAGTCTGCAATGGATGTTTTATTTTGAAAATTGACCAGATCCTCTGTGCCGTTCTGTCTGACTTCCTGCGTGGTTCATCTGCTCTGTGCTGCTTGGCGCGGCTTCTGTCAAAAACAGACTGGCAGTGAATATTGAACTTTAGCAAAACTTCAATAAAAAAAATCGCAAATCGAATCGTAATTGCTGTACCTGGCAGAAAAATCGCAATTGTATATTAGATTGTACTCTGCAAGGAGTGCTTTGTTTTGATATCGGCATTACATATCGGCCATCGGCCGCCCTGCTCTCTAAATATTGGCGTCCGTCATTGGAAAGCCGGTCACCACAAAAAAAAACCCAACAACAAACAAATGGGGGGGGAAGGAATGTGTTGCTTTCATAATCTTTACTGCTCTGTGCCAGAGAAACAGATGAACTGATAGCTGAAAGAGCAGCACTGTTCACCTGCGATGATAAAAGCATGAATCACTTATTTCAACACTGCTGTGCCCCTGGGGGGACGGGATTCCATTAAGCCCCAACCGCCTCCACCCCCAAACAGCTCCCACCCCCACCGCCCATCCTTCTGCCAAAAAAACAAAAATACAGGAGATGGAGTCTTTCAGGCCAAAAGCCAAGCGTCTCTGTGTGTCTCTGGTGTAATGATACCACTGAGTCTTTCTTTGAGATGCAAACCTTGTGTTCATGTATTTGTTAGCATGAGCGTGCAGTTTGAGCTCTGCGGCTGTGTTGAAGGTGATCAAGTGAGTGTGCGTGTGTAATGCTCGAGATGGCGAGTGTACCTAGACATAAAAGTTGATCTGCGTGTGTTTTGTGTGTACGCATGTGCACGTGCATCCATTCCCCAGGGTCCTCTCCCCGCATCCCTTTTATGAAAGGAGAAGTTCAGAGAGAGCAGCAGATGTCAATGCGCTGACCTTTTATGGAGGCAAGGGCTTGGGCTAGAGTTAAAAGACATACCGAGTTACCCCACCCCTCAAAGCAGCAGCCCCACGTCCACCCGTACACACACACACACACACACTACTGCTTTAGCTGCAGCCCTGATAGATAGGTTAACGATGGAGATGATACAAGCTACCTGATCTGTGTGTCACCTCAGTATCCTGCAGTCTCTAAAGCTTTTTCTATATCCGCCCAGAGCTGTGAAAATCTTCAAAGTGTGTGGTGTGTGTTGGCGGTGGGGGTGGGGGGTACAAGCCAGAGGGGAGCTGTACAGAAGTCGCAGGCAAAGCACCAAAGCAAATGTGCCACTGCCAGACATCTTTAGGGGGATTTATTCTGATGCTTACAGTAGCCTATTGTTTTGGTAGTTCATGCATATCCATTACCTCACATGATTGAAATATCCCCCCGAAGGCTGTCGTTTCATTCAGGGTTCAGATTCATCTTGTTCGGTCGGGTGATGACGGGCCTCTTAAAGAACCACACGCCCCCGTTGACTCTGTGTCTTCGTTCTCTTGTTTCCTCGTTCAGCCTGTTTGTATCTGCCTGTCTCGGGGGAACGACCGCAGGAGACACCCACAGGGATAGAAATGCACTTTTTTGCGTAATTTGGCTTGGATTGCCTCCAGCTTGGCACTCCTCATCCTTGGTCCTCAGCCACGTGCTAAAGTGTGCACAAACCTGGGCCAATATAGCATCGTAGCATGTCCCTGTAGTTTTTCACGTCTTCTCTGCTTATTCATAACTTCCATTTATTGGTGATGAATTTGAGTGACCTT